CCTAACCACGACAGCAAACTGCGCACCCCCTAGCCCCTACTAAGTGATGAGCATTGATTTTAAGTGTCTGCAAAGAACTGAAGTCTGGACAGAAGCCAGAAATATACGGCCCAGGAGACTTCGGGAGTGCTCCCTGATAAAGCGGCTATTAATAGCCCAAGTGTCTCGGCTTTCAGCAGCTCTCTGACAAATTTAAACGAATGGGGGAAATAAAACCTTTATCCAAAAAAAAAGCTTATGGAGGATGTGAATCCTGATTAGTTGCATAATGCCCGTCTAACAAAGGTGCTGCGGGGAGAAGAGAAAGATTTTATAAGGCCATTAAAAATATCTTGGGAACACAGTTTTAAAGCATCAGATTAGAAAAGGGAACTGAGTTGTTCTCCTTCTCAGCGTCCCAGTTAAGAGCTCAGAGCTGGGCTGACGCGTCCACAGGAGAGCGACGGATTGATCCCAGACACTGATCCTGGTGCCTGCACCAGCAGTCTTATCCTCTACGGAAGGGTAAATGTAGAACTTAAATTGTACAAGAACATTAGTGGTAGAGTGGTGTCCACTCCCAAAACATACGGTGTGAAATGACCACCAGAGCACACTCATAAGAATATCAGGAGAGCCCTGCTGGATCAGACCAGTGAAGGTCCACCTAGCCCAGCATCCTGTCTCACACAGTGCCCAACCAGTTCCTCTGGAGGGCCAAAAACAGGGCATAGAGGCTGAGGCCTTCATAGGAACATCAGAAGATCCCCGCCGGATAAGACCAATGGTCTACCTAGTCCAGCATCCTGTCTCACACAGTGGCCAACCAGTTCCTCTGGAGGGCCAACAACAGGGCAGAGAGGCCGAGGCCTTCATAAGAACATAAGGAGAGCCCTCCTGGATCAGACCAGTGGTCCATCTAGTCCAGCATCCTGTCTCACGCAGGGGCCAACCAGTTCCTCTGGACAGCCAACAACAGGGCAGAGAGGCTGAGGCCTTCATTAGAGCATCAGGAGAGCCCTGCTGGATCAGGCTAATGGCCCATCTAATCTGGCATCTTGTATCAAACAGAGGCCGACCACTTCCTCTGGAGGGCCAACAACATGGCATAGAGGCCAAGGCCTTCATTAGAGCATCAGGAGAGCCCTGCTGGATCAGGCCAGTGGTCCATCTAGTCCAGCATCTTGTCTCACACAGTGGCCAACCAGTTCCCCTGGATGGCCAATAACAGGACAAGGGGCCAAGGCCTTCCCCTGATGTTGCCTCCTGGCTCTGGGATTCAGAGGTTTAATGGAGATGCCAGGGATTGAACCTGGGTCTTATGTTCTTATGTTCTTATGCATGTCAAGCACAGGCTCTACCACTAAGCCACAGCCCTTCCCTGCTGCATAAATTGATCTATTTACTTTATTTACTGCATCAATTAGTTTGCTCTGGAGCCAACCTTCCTGAGCGAAGACAAAAATGTGTGAGCCAGAGGTTAAAAAACTGTGAGCTAGCTCACACTTACTCAGTTTCAAGGGAACACTGGTCAGGACCCCACTGCCTACTGTCTGAGCCTTTTAACTGGAGAGGGTGGGAATTGAACCTGGGACCTTCTGCGTACTAAGCAGATGCACAACCACTGAGCCACGGCCCTATCTCTACCAGCTGATGGGACATAACATTTGCATACCATTGCTAGCTTACAATCGTGTCATTTTAACAAAGACTGATACGCAGCTGAGATGCCCCTTTACAGAAACTGAAACGAACCCTTAAAAGGAGGGGAGGGAATTGGAATGTCTCCCACCTGATTATTTCGGTTGACACCTCTGAGTTGGGGAATTCCAAGAGTTGGGGGGTGGGCAGAGCCTCGGGAGGGCATGATTTGGAGAAGGGGAGGGGCCTCAGCTAGGTATAATGCCATACAGTCCACCTTCCAAAGCAGCCATTTTGTACAGGGGAGCTGATCTCTGTTGCACCTGCTGATGTGACCTTGGGTCAGTCACAAGCTCTGGCACAGCTGTCCTTGAAAGAGCAGTTTCTGTCAAGAGCTCTCTCTGCCCAACCCACCTCACAGGGTGTCTGTTGTGGGGAGGGGAAGGGAAAGGAGTTTGTAAGCCGCTCTGTGACTCCGAGTGAAGGGCGGGGTATAAATCCAATCTCCTCCTCCTCCTCCTCCTCCTCCTCCT